AAACAAACGACAAACGCACTCAACAATTTGTTACCAGTTATACAGTAAGGTGCACACGAAATGGGCTTTGAACAGTAGAACAGTAGAAAGGCATCATGGCACACTCACAAACCAGCATGTAAAACAACTTGTCTCACCACTAAGGACAACCTCTGTCATTGTCCTTAGTGGTGAGACAAGTTGTTTTACATGCTGGTTTGTGAGTGTGCCATGATGCCTTTCTACTGACCATAATATAGAGCCCATTTCTATCTCTGGGTCATAGTCCAATAGTCGCTGATGAATCCAAATATGGTCTATCCGGCCATATGTTCCATGGACCTGAGAGAAATAAGTATAGTCTTTTTTTGTGGGGTGTAATACACGCCATCCGTCCACTAGTCTCATATTATTCATTTTATCTTTAAGACTCTTTAATACCTCCCCTGGGGGGGAGGATTTACCTGTAGTATCAAGACTTTTATCGAAAATTAAGTTCATGTCACCCATCACCAACTTTTGGGTCTATTCACAAAAGGGTGAAGAGTTTGGAGAAGGCAGGAGAAGGGAACAATCCAGGACAACATAGCTGAACTGGAAAGTGAGCTGAATTGGAGAATTTTTCCAAATCGGCTATTTTGTCCTAGATTGAACACTTCTCCTGCCTTCTCCAAACTCTTCACCCTTTAGTGAATAGACCTGTTTGTACCTACCCCAAATTGTTCAAACCTACTCAGTATCCTAGTGCAAAAACTATGTTGTCCCTTATTCGGTGCATATATATATATATCGCCAGTGAATATGTTTGTTTAAAAAGAGTAAATTTGACAAACACAAATCTCCCCATCTCATCTAATCAATCTGTGCATTTTTGTGGATAGCTATCGAAACTCCTCTTGCTTTTTTGTCTGGGTGTGTACTATGATACCATTTCATGTAATTCCTATCTCTAATATCAGGGGTATCCCCCTTCTTAAAATGTGTTTCCTGTAAACATAAGATATCTATTTTTTTAATGAAAGTGATATAAAACCTGTGAACGTTTCCCTGGTGCATTAAGTCCCTTTACATTAAAAGTTCCCAATGCTAAATTATTCATTTCCTAATTATAGTTTCATTATTCATTATACATTTTACATATGACCTTTCCAATACATTCCCACTACCACATAAACATCCCATCTCATACAATATTCTCCATACATATGTACATTTCTTTTCATCTTGTATGTAGGACATTCCCTTAACGTCCAGCTGTGCTCTCGTCCCGCCACAAACCTATGCCCTTTTAGCCAGTTTTGTTTCAATTTCCCCCCCCCCCCCCCCCCCCCCCCCCCCAATCCATGCCCTCACTGACTCAGTGTCGCATGGCCTGAGTGGCCCGGGGAACATTCTGCCGGGGAAAGGGCAACAACTCTTATATCTTATGGCTCTCCCACTTTTCTTCCTCCAGCCCTCCCCCCTTTTCTCTGTCTGCACAGATGTCCATCCCTGCGTTTGTTGGTGAACCACTTGTCAAGTTCCCTCAACTCGCATTGTCTGTCCGGAGTGGTTCTTGGCACCGGCAGTATCTCAGAGAGGCCATTTCCTTCAGCCTAGCACCTAAGTCTCTGAACTCCTTTTTTAGGACACTCCATTTACCTCCTATTTTGTCATTGGTGGCGACATCATTATCGTGTATCTGGACTTTTCCAAAGCATTTCATACCGTGCCACATAAATGCTTGTTTTACAAGCTAAGGTCTATGGGCATAGATGAAATAGTGTGCACGTGGATAGAAAACTGGCTACAGGAACGTGTACAAAGAGTATCGGTTAATGGCACCTTTTCAGACTGGGCTGAGGTCATGAGTGGCGTGCCCCAGGGTTCTGTGCTGGGCCCCATGCTTTTCAACCTGTTTATTAATAATATCGGGGAGGGAGTGAATAGCCATGTCTCAATGTTTGCTGATGATACAAAAATTTGGGAGGGTAATAGACACTGACTTAGACATTGTAACATTACAGGAGGACCTGGATAAAATGACGATAAATGCAAAGTAATGCACTTTGGAGTTAAAAATAGGCAAATGGGCTATACAATTATGTGTATGCCACTAGGGAAGTCAGAAATGGAGAAAGATTTGGGGGTCATTGTAGACCACAGATTGAAGAATAGCTTGCAGTGCCAGGCTGCTGTAAACAAAGCAAGTAGAGTCCTGTCCTGTATTAAGAAGGGAATGTATTGCAGGGACAAGTCTTTAATGTTGCCACTTTATAGATCACTGGTTCGGCCTCATCTAGAGTAGGCGGTCCAGTTTTGGTCACCAATACTCAGAAAAGATGTCCTTGAGCTGGAAAAAGTCCAGCGGAGGGTAAACAAACTCATTAAGGGGTTGGAAGGCCAGAGCTATGAAACAAGGCTGTTAAAACTAAATATGTTCTCTTTGGAAGTAAGGAGATTAAGGGGGGACATGATTCTCTTGTATAAAATGTTCAATGGTGACAGCAACATTATTAACAAACTCTTTACGGTTAACCCCAAAACAAGGACTAGAGGCCACCACCAAAAATTGGTGGAGAAAAAATTTGAGCAAGGGGTTCTTCTCAATTAGAGTGGTTAAGGTCTGGAACTCAGCTAAGAGTGTGGAATCATTCAAGAAACTCTTGGATGATTTCTTTTGGAGACCATCACATACAGGGGTACAGGTACTGCTAAGAGCAAAATCACACATGGACTCATACACACGCACACACCAGCAGAACCGTAAATGCATACACGCAATAGGTTGGACTTGATGGACTTATGTCTTTATTCAACCTCAAATACTACGTAACTATGTAACTATGTAACTTAAGAAGATCAACTAAGGTGGTGGGATTTAAACATGGGGAGGAGGATGATAAGATAATATTATATGCAGATGATACGTTGATTTTTTTGGAAGATACTAACTACTCCTTGATAGAGGTTATGTTCATACTTTTAGATTTTGGGAAATATTCAGGGTTGGAAGTAAATTGGAGTAAGTCAATGCTTCTTCCCATAGATCCAATGCAGGACCCATTATCTGAGCAACTGCAACATGTACAAATTGTGGATTCATTTGTGTATCTGGGAGTTCGGAGTAAACAGTGTGATTATGTGGAAAATAATATAACACCTCTCTTGCAGAAATTTAGGAAACAATGTAATACATGGTGTATGCTCCCCTTGTCACCAGTAGGTAGACTCAATCTTATGAAAAAAATGTTGGATACCTCAGCTTGCTTATATACTGCATATTTCTCCATGTTGGATAACTCAGATTGTATTTAGGAGGATAAATGCAGTGTTTAGAAAGCTGATTTGGAGAAAGAAGCAATTGCGTTTCAAGTTAGAGATTCTACAGTATCCAAGGGGGAAAGGGGCATGGTGCTACCTAACCCATGGATATCATGTTTAGCTTCACAATTAAGACATCTAGTGGGGTGGCAGCAAGCAAGGCAAAGTTCGAAGGCTTATTCTTTTATTAAATACTTCTTTCAAGCAAAAGATCCCCTAATGGCCCTGGAGACAAGCCTATATCTAAAGGAATTTGCATTTTTGCCCACTATAAGACTGATTGGTAAAGTATGGAAGTCAACTAAAGGCCTGTTGAATATTGCTAGATTTACAACATATACCTACCCCAATATGGGAAAATAGGGAAATATTCAAAGTGGCTAAACTACAAGGTTTTGGAGTAGGGAAAAGAGCAGGGATTTTGACATTAGCACAAGTTTATGACAAAAGGTACGATGAGAACATTTCAGTCTCTACAAATGGAATGTTTGCTGCAGAACTCCCAGTTTTACAAATATCTACAATTGAGACATGCCCTTACAACACCTTCCGGTTAGTGATGTTTATATTGGCTCAAGTTTGATTATGGATAAACTATTTTAAGCAACTGTGACAATGAGGGGGATTTCAAGACTATATTCTGATCTTCTTCCAGAGGTGTTAGGTAAATCGCCCCTGAAATGCAGAGAAGGCTGGGAGGTGGATTTGGGACCAATAGAAGATAGTATATGGGAAAGAGGTGCTGCGAACAATCCAGCTGGTGTCAACGTCTGCATCCCCTAGGTTAGCACAATTCGATATCGTCAATAGGACATATAGGACCCCGGAGTTTCTGTTTAAATAGGATTAAGAGAGAACTCTAAGTGCCCAAAATGTGGTATTAAACCAAGGTCATTAATACATTTGTTGTGGAGGTGTCCAAAATTAAAGCGTTATTGGCATGAAATATTGAATAAATATATGTAATCTATGGGGTTTGGATTATTAATAACCCTTTGACTTGTACATTGGGTGTATATGAATCCTTAAACATAGAATATTATGAGAAGCTGGCCATTACGAGAGCTCTGTTTGTGGCTCATTGACTTATTGCATGTAAATGGATGTCGTCAGTGATACCTACTAAAGGGGAGTGGAGATAAGAACTTGAAAGGGTGGTTGCATTTGAGAAAATAATGTCAAAACATTGTGGCATTTTAGATAAGTACTGGAAAATGTGGGGAAAGTGGAATGCATATAGTGCCAATGTATGCATATGATATGGGAACTTTATTGCAAGTAGAAAACTATGTAAAGGAAAAGAGCGTGGTCAACTGTATTAACTCGTATGTGGATCTTTTCCTTTTGTTTCTTATAATCATCTTATTGAATCTCTCCTTTTTTTTGTTTTGTTTATTTTATTGGTTTGTTGTTGGTCTGGTTTTTTTTAAATGATCTGATATGATTGGAGTATATGTTATGTATATGTTTGTAAACTTTTAAAATGGATAATAAAAAGTATTAAAGTTGAAAAAAATATATACTTTATTACTGTTTATAATATATACA